CGTACTTTAACCAGGTAGCCAGGTCGTCCAGGGTGTAAGCCTGACCAGAATGGTTGTACATGCACCGACGGAAATCAGCCCTTTGCTCTGAAGGAAGCTTACTAAGGAGTCGAGCCACATGGGAGCCACACTGGAGTTCGACCTCCCCATCAGGGCCTAAAGTCTTCAGCATGCCCACGAGCGACTGGATGTGGAGAGAGAATCGCTCAAATGCGGCTGCATCCCCTCGGCGGATGTCAGGTGAGTCCATGACAGCAGCAATCCTTCTCAGGGCAAGCTGGTGGGGCTGCCCAAGCCTGTCGTTAAGAGCGTTCATAGTGTCACTGAAGGGCGTGGCAGAATGGAGGTAAGCGTCCGCTATCAACTTTGCTTCCTCCAGGTGTAGGTGATCTAACAAGACTTGGTACCTGAAGAGCTCTGAACTCTCCGGGGGCAATAAGTTCTCTAGCGCCATCTTTAGACGAGCAAATTCCCCAGGATCACGGCGTGAGAGCTTGGGAATGCTTGGACGAGGCCCCCTGTAGGTCAAGAAAGGAGTAGATGAGGACGGGGGTGGAGTTGGCAGTGGTTGCAATGGAGGGGGGTGTGCTCTCGGAGGCGGCGCTGGAGGGTGGAGAAGTGAACCCTGGCCTAGATTCACGTAGGGGGGTGATCTGACTCTCCTGTGCAGCCATAGACTCCCTCTTCAGATCCTGGAGCTCTTTCAGCATCGTATCGATGCGGTCCGCAACTGGACCCTGGCTGGAGACAGACTCCTCCTTGAACACAACAGGAGGAGGTGGTGGAGGCCAGTCCTCTTCCTCTTCAGCAGGGGGTGGCTGGAGATGAACAGCAGGGGCTCTGGGCGGTGGACTGAGCTGCAGACTCTCTGCACGGTCCAGCAACTGCAGCAAACTAGCATGAAGGGCCTGGAAATTAGCCAGCCCGGCTCTCATCTCGTCATGCGACTGCTGGAACAGGAACCTTTCACGCTGTATATCTTCTAACTCTGCTCTCAATGGTGTGACATGGCCGTGTGAGCGGTCATCAGAGGGGTCAGACGGAGGATGGTGGGAAGAACGGGTGTCGCCTCCTGTCTCACTTTCCTCCTGGTAACCTGCACCAAGCCCGGGGAAGTCAGTCTCATAAGCTTCATAGCGGAGGGGACGCCGTACATTACGCCGTGGGCGCGCACCAAGAGCTGAGAAGTTCTGAATATCATCCATCTTGTTAGGGTAGAAGCAGCTTACATCCGGCTCGAAGGACCATTAATGTTGGATAGATAGCTTGTACTGGAAGGACTGTAAGGTGCTAGTTCAGTTTGCAGCTACCACTCCCCGGAGTGTCGGCCAGAACACTGCTCAAGGCCCGGATGAATGTTCAGAAGGGAGACAATAAAGACACCGAGGATAGTGCAGACTCTCGTATTGACTTCACACAGTTGAAGGTAACAGAGGTTGTCAGAGGAGCAGGTATCGCATACAGGTTTAGGTGCGTGGGCATGGATGTGTGTGTGTGGTCCCTGAACGGAACAGAAAGAAAATACTACATTACTAAAGTGTTCACAACAATATCTCCAGAGTACATCAACATAAACACAGGCGGGAAATAAACTAACATCCCCTCTAATACCATAGGCCATATATTACCCACGACTCACACATAGACCCCCTGAGAGAGCTAACCAGGTACACAGCTATGCCCAACCACACGGCAGGAAAGTTAGCTTAGCTTAGCTTAGCTTAGCACCCGCTAGCGGCACAGACAGAAACATAATCATTTCCCCCCTAACCTTGGTTACAGTCCCAAACACATCTTATTATCACATCCTCACACATCACCAACTTACGTTGCTCATTAACGCACACTTCTCACAGAATAACCAATTCTCTGCCAGTAATCTGGAGCAGAAAAGCTCAGGTGCTTTGCCCACGTCTCTCCCTGGACATAGTCTCTCATACAAAGCAGTGGGGTGACCTCTACTGGCCACTCTAAAAACTACAGGGGAACTAACAACTGAACAGAATAAAACCATAACTACGGGGCCTTTTGTACAGCCGCCCCCAAATGTATGAAGTACATTTGCTCACAACAAAAGGCAATTTTACAAACAAAGTCACGGTGATTGTCCTTTGTCTTCGTCCGGGAGGGCAGGCAGTACCACCAGCCTCGCCACAGGTCGGGTGAAGGTCCGGTCCTTCACCTTGATGTCAGCAGACCTGATGTGCCCGTCGGGACTGGGGTGGACTTTGGAGATGCAGCCCACGAGCCAGGAAGCACGAGGCAGCTGAGGATCTACGATCATCACCACTGAACCTTCTGTGACATCTGCGGGGGATGACCGCCATTTCTGCCGAAGCTGCAGGCTTGGAAGGTACAGCCGGATGAATCGAGACCAGAAGTGGTCAGCCAGCACCTGGGAGTGCTTCCACCTCCGGCGACTCAGGAGCTCTTCTCTGGGATAAGCCACTTGAGGAAGTGCTCCGTCAGGCCGCCCCATCAGAAAGCAGTTGGGGGTCACTGGATCAGGATCACTGATGTCAGACGGGACATAACCTAGTGGTTTGGAGTTCAAGATGCCCTCCACCTCCACAAGGACCGTGTGGAGGACCTCTTCTTGAAGGGGTTGGGATCCTACTGTAGTGTAGAGTGCCATCTTGACAGACCTAATCTCCCGCTCCCACACTCCCCCGAAATGAGGAGCCGCTGGTGGATTGAAGTGGAAGACGATCTTATGGGGAGCCAGGAGCTTCTGCAGGTCAGAGGTCATGGCTGCAAAAGCTGCTTGGAGTTCCCTTTCTCCCCCACGGAAGTTGGTCCCTTGGTCTGAGTACAGCTCAGCTGGAGTTCCTCTCCTGGCAATGAAGCGTCGAAGTGCCATTAGGAAGGCATCTGTATCGATGGAGGTTAGGACATCAAGGTGGACCGCTCTGATAGTTAGGCACTTAAAGATGATGCCCCACCTCTTCTCCACACGGCGCCCGATTTTGACCTCAAAGGGTCCAAAACAGTCCACGCCTGTCGAATAAAAGGCAGGTTTGTAAAGGCGGAGGCGCGCAACTGGCAGGTCCGCCATCTTGGGAACAGTCGGTCGGGCTCTCCATCTGCGGCACTCAAGACAGGTCCTTTGAAAACGCCTAACTGCTTCCCGGCCTCTCAGGATCCAATGAGTGCGCCGAATCTCCGCGAAGACCCTCTCTGGCCCTGGATGGCGCAGGCGACTGTCGACGTCCTGGATGAACAGGCGGGTGACTGGATGTGTCGGATCCAAAACTAAAGGATGGGAGTTGGTAAAGGCGAGATCTTCAGAGCGGCGAAGACGTCCACCTACACGATGACCTCATTTGTGGTCGAACTCAGGGGATAGTGCAAGGAGACGATGCTGCAACTGATGAGATTTCCCCTGCTTAAGGAGTCGAGTACTCCTCAGGGAAGCTCTCCTGTGAGCTTCTCTCAGGACATCATCTCTGCTCGAAATAGTCATAAGCCGATGAAGTTCCACCGCCTTTGGCCGCCCCATGCAACTGCGTAATAGCTAGCTTCCAGCAGCTGTGTCCAGGTGTCATATTTGCTGAAGTTCGAGGTGGTGGGGTCGAAGGTGGTAGAAATCCACAAAAGGTCTCTTTACGGAGCTCAGATGGGCCTGGAGGCTCAGCCAGGGTGCCACTTGGCTCTGGAGGCCACTGTTCTGGACCTAGGAGCAGGAAAGGAGGCCCTTGACTCCATCTTTGGGTCTGGTCAGCTCTGGAAGGGACTTCCCCGGGTATATCATCTGCGTTGGGCTGAGTCCCTAGCGGTGCGTAGAATTGATCCAGCCACCGGGTGCCGACGAAGACCTTGAAGTGGCATGACTGGGCACCAGGACATTGTCAGCACCCATTCTTTATGCCAGAGTGAGCATTAAGACGGAATGAGCTGGAGGACACACGCTCAGTCGGGCATGGAGAGAATGCGTTTAGGGGCAACAGGGAGCGAGCCATCAGGAAGGCTCAGATGTGAGCTGCCATCCACCTGTCACTGTTCTCATGTAGGCCACTGCGCCATAAGCCTGCTCTGACGCATCACAGAATATGTGAATCTCTCTCTCACTAACTGCCTCCATGATGTGCTTTGGGAGATACGGGCGAGGAAGCAGGACTTGTGCAAGGAACAGCAATTCCTCTTCCCAGGTTTTCCACTGCTGGAGTAGTTCTGGCGGAAGCTGCGGGTCATCCCATCCCCTCTGTTGATCCCAAAGGCGCCTCACCAGCATCTTGGCTCGGGTGGTGTACGGTAGGATAAAGCCAAGTGGGTCGTATTGGCTTGCGAGAACCTTATAAATATTCCGCATGGTGGGGGCGCCATAACTGATTTTGCGGTGTCTGTAACCCAAGGTGTCCGTGGGGAAGTGCCAGCTAAGGCCTAGAGTTGGCTCAGAGGTGTCTGATTTGTCTTGAGTGAGCCAAAGTTCTGCACTTGTGGATCTGAGGTCTTCAGGTAGGTGGCCAATGGTGCTGGGTTCATTACTGGCCCACTGGCGAAGGACAAATCCAGCAGAAGACAGGAGGGCTCTTAGCCTGTCCACTAGGTCCCGGGCTTCTTCAGGGGTCGGCACGCTCTGGAGAAGGTTATCAACATAGAAGCACTGTCCCACAGAGTGACGTAGCGGATCATCTCCTTCCGTGTGGTCCCTGGCGTGGTGCTGCAGAGCGAAGGTTGCACAGCATGGGCTGCAGGTTGTACCGAAGGGGAGGACCTGCCATTCATAAACGGCCACCGCCACAGGTTCCTCAGGGTGCAGATCCCGCCACACAAACTGCAGGAGGGAACAATCCTTGGGAAGAAGGCGAATCTGGTGGTACATACCTTTAATGTCACCACTAATGGCTATGGCATGCTCTCGAAAGCGAAGGAGGACACCAAGGAGCGATGCGCTCAGGGTAGGCCCAGGCAAAAGATGTTCGTTGAGGGCTTGGCCTTGGAACTAGAACGAACAGTTAAACACAAGGCGATCTTTGCCATTGTGGCTAACGAGGTGGTGAGGGATGGGCCATGACTCATCTGCTTGAGCAATCTCAGAGGGGGACACCTTAACCACCGAACTGGCCTGGACCAACTTCTCAAACTGGGAACATCCGCATTAGGGCTAGCTTTAAGGTGTGGCATGTTCTGGCGGCGAAGGAGGGGGGTGGCATAGCTTTGGATGCCCTCAACCTCTACACGAACCGTCTTCTGCTCTAGCAGGCTAACTGCATAGTTATCTTCTCTTGAACGGGTAACCACCTTACCTTCTGGTACTGGGACGACATCTGCCATAACTTCTCTACATGTTTGAGTAGCTCACTCACCTGGGGAGGAATGGCGGTCGTGAACAGGCACTGTTGTGGCAGCGAAGAGGAACCAATAAGGCTGGAGGGACCCTGTACTGTCCACCCTAACCTGGTGCGCATAGCAGCGGGACCACCCGGTGGACCAAGACAAACAGCTTCAGTTGGAGTGATGAGCTGTGGGTGGTCACTGCCAATGAGAAGGAGAGGTTTGACCTTCTTGAAGGACTGGAGAGGCAGGCCTCTGAGGTGTCTGTACTTCCGCTGCAAGGACTCCACAGGGTAGCTGTGCTCGGCTAGGTCGATATGGGTGGCGGTGAAGGCGTTGCAGACTTTGTACTTCAGCTTAGGTTTGCCACCAGGGGAGATCTCGAATGAGACACACGATCCATGTAGCGTTTGCACATCTTGCCTGATAGTGTGCAATGGAAGTGTCTCTGGGATGCCTTGAAAGTCAAGCTTCTGGGCAGTGGTGGGTAGCAGCATGGTCCTTTCTGTGTGATGGGAGCGAGCGCAACGCCAGCACCTCTTGTTGGTCTTTCTCCAGTCTGTGAGCTGTTCGCGACTCATCTTGATGACCTCTGGACACTGACTCAGGTGATGGGCACGGTTATCGCAAAAGGCGCAGTAGGGCTGCTGCCTAGCTTTGTTTGGAGTGGTACCTAGTGACCTGGGTGAGCTCTCTGCACCGTGAAGAACCACAACAGAGCGCTTGCTTGGTCTGACATCAGGCTTCTCTCTGGTGATCGTTGGAGTGGGCAAGCCGTCATAATCCTGACACCAGGATTCGTACTTTAACCAGGTAGCCAGGTCGTCCAGAGTGTAAGCCTGACCAGAGTGATTGTACATGCACCGACGGAAATCAGCTCTTTGCTCTGAAGGAAGCTTACTAAGGAGTCGAGCCACATGGGAGCCACACTGGAGTTCGACCTCCCCATCAGGGCCTAAAGTCTTCAGCATGCCCACAAGCGACTGGATGTGGAGAGAGAATGGCTCGAATGCGGCTGCATCCCCTCGGCGGATGTCAGGTGAGTCCATGACAGCAGCAATTCTTCTCAGGGCAAGCTGGTGGGGCCGCTGGTGGGGCCGCCCGAGCCTGTCGTCATTCATGGTGTCACTGAAGGGCGTGGCAGAATGGAGGTAAGCGTCCGCTATCAACTTTGCTTCCTCCAGGTGTAGGTGATCTAGCAAGACTTGGTACCTGAAGAGCTCTGAACTCTCCGGGGGCAATAAGTTATCTAGCGCCATCTTTAGACGAGCAAATTCCCCAGGATCACGGCGTGTGAGCTTGGGAATGCATGGACGAGGCCCCCTGGTCAAATCTGGGGCCGCTGCTAAGCCAGGGGGTCACTACATCTGTGAGGTCAAGAAAGGAGTAGATGTTGGGTGTTGGGTAGATAGCTTGGACTGGGAGGACTGTAAGGTGCCAGTTCAGATTTGCAGCCACCACTCCCCGGAGTGTCGGCCAGAACACTGCTCAAGGCCCGGATGAATGTTCAGAAGGGAGACAATGAAGACACCGAGGATAGTGCAGACTCTTGTATTGACTTCACACAGTTGAAGGTAACAGGGATTGTCAGAGGAGCAGGTATTGCATACAGGTTTAGGTGCGTGGGCATGGTGTGTGTGTGTGTGTGGTCTGTGATGTGGGGTATGTCTTAGCTGGTTGAGGGGGTGTTGGCTGTCTATTAACGCACACTTCTCACGGAATGACCAATTCTCTGCTGGTAATCTGGAGCAGAAAAGCTCAGGTGCCTTGCCCACGTTTCTCCCTGCCCATAGTCTCTCTCATACAAAGCGGTGGGGTGACCTCTACTGGCTACTCTAAAACTACAGGTGAACTAACACCTGAACAGAATAAAACCGTAACTACGGGGCCTTTTGTACAACCACAAAATATATACTTGAAAGATGTTTTACTTTCAAACATTGAACTATGATTGATGACCCATTTGCTGATGAACAAAAAAATTTGGACAAAGCTGAATGTGAAACAGACAATTTCAATTAAACTTACAAAAGAACAGTGATGGGAATAACGGCGTTATAAGTAACGGCGTTACATTTTTCAGTAACGAGTAATCTAACCAATTACTATTCCTATCGTTACAACACCATTACCGTTACTAACAAGAAAATGCGGTACAGTCGCGTATTATTCAACAAACAGATGGCTGAAGCTGTGTTCAGCTTACTGCACCTAATATCAGTTGCACGGAAGTAGCTGTCTACATAAGTAATCTGGGCGCTACAGCTTTAAGCAGCTGCACTCCTGCGGACGGCAATCACTTTCTAGCAGATTATCACTTTTTGGCACAACACCTGTAGCTAAGGGGGCAAAACCAATGACTGTAGAAAACATGGACGACACGACAGCTCCCAAAAAATTAAGCCAAAATGTCTCTATTGCCCCCTGGTGTCTGGCTGCATTATAGGTCATAAACCCCGCCTCCTCCATGATGGGACTGGGGTCAGACTAAAATTAATTAATTCTCCTCAGATAAATTTTTTCCAAAGATTCTTTCTTTTGTTATCAATATTTCTCATCATGCTGATATATGTCCAAGGGGTCTCCTTTCCCATAAGTTTGATTCTAATTTCTACCGCGGTGATGTTAAATTGGGGTGTAACGTTATCATAAGAGCTTTGACTGACAGCTGCAGTCATGGGGAAACTTGCGTATCTCTGTTCGGGAATAGCAGATAGAGCGTAGGCTCTGAGAGGAGGGCCAGCGTTTACGTTACAACACGACTGACTGTTTTAACCTGACAGCCTGAGGTGTTCTTCAGTAAACTGGACTACCCGACAGAAGGACCCGAGGCCTGATGAGCACTCGGCTGTCGGGGAAACTTGTTTTGAATGAATTTACCCCGACTAAAGAAATCAAGAGAAACGCCCCAGGCTGCTCTGTCACTAATTACCGTTACTGTACTTTTATTACAAGTGTTATACTGTAAAAGCAACAGGCTGCACTC